GCCGCTGGCCAACCGCCTGCGGCCTTTCCCCCCAGCAGACCCCACCCCTGATAGGCCCCCCTACTCTGATCAGGGGCAGGGCCGGCTGGCCAACCACACATGGCCCCTCCCCCAGGCCACTGGCCCCTGATCGGCCACCCCACCCATTTGGGGGTGGGGCCAGCTGGCCAAACTCCTGCACCCCCTCTCCACAGCCAGCCCCACCCCTAATCAGGCCCCACCACCCCATCAGCCCATGGCCCCTCCCCCCAGCCAGCTCCGCCCCTGAGTGGCCCCACACACACTAATCGGGGGTGGGGCTGGCCAGCCAACCTCCCATGGCCCCTCCCCATGGCTAGCCCCGCCCTCAATTGGCCCCCTCCACCCCAATCAGGGGCAGGGCCCACCGGCCAATCACCTGAGGACCGTCCCCACAGCCAGCCCAGCCCTGATCAGGGCAGGCTGTCCAGCCAACCTCCTGCTGCCTCCTCCTCCCTACAGGCCCAGCCCTGATCCGCCCCGATTGGGGCTGGGCCAGCTGGACCCCACCCGTGCACAAATTCGTGCACTGGGTCTCTAGTATGTGTACATATATATATATATACTAAAAGGATTGCTAGAAGAAAGTCTGAGAGAATATTTACCTGATTTGGGGTGGGGAAGGACTTTTTAAGTATGACCCCAAATAACCATAAAGGAAAATATCAACTGATTTAATTACGTACATTTTTAAAAAGTTACTACAAAGTTAAAAGGCAAATGAGAAACTATGCAAAGATACTGGTACCATATATGTCACACAACATGAAAACCTCTTATAAATCAATAAGAAAAAAATGAAACACCCCACAGACCAATGGACAAAGTACATAAAGTAGAAATTTACCAGGGAAGAAATACAAATGGGAAAAGGTTCATCTTTAACAATAATAAAAAATAGGAATTAAAACAATAATAATTCAATACCCTCTTCACCTGTTAGAGAGCATAGATTAGAAGGATATAGGGAGCCCTGATCGGTTTTGCTCAGTGGATAGAGCGTCGGCCTGAGGACTGAAGGGTCCCGGGTTTGATTCCAGTCAAGGGCATGTACCTTGATTGCAGGCACATCCCCCGTAGGGGGTGTGCAGGAGGCAGCTAATCGATTTTTCTCTCTCATCGATGTTTCTGACTCTCTATCCCTCTCCCTTCCTCTCTGTAAAAAAAAAATCAATAAAATATATTTTTTTAAAAAAAGGATATAGGGAAATGGCACTCGGACAGGACAAGTGGGGAGTGAATTGTGCTGTAAGGCACTTAAGCTATTTAAGTGACCACTTAACAATTCACTTAGGTTTTCTGTGCCTCAGTTTCATCACCCATAAAATGGGGACAGTAATGCCTCTCACTGACTTGTCCTAAGGATAACTGAGATGATATTTGTAAGGCATCTGACATATCTCCCAGCATACGATAAGCCCCCAATATATCAGAGCTGCTATAATTAATAGTATTACCATACCATCTTTTGGAAGACATATTTAATATACAGGAAAAGCTGCTTTTATTCATGCATGCATTCATTCATTCAGCAATTTTTGACTGTCTAATATGTGCCAGTGAGATAGTTTAACAAATAAAAATAATTATTCAGCATAATTTGTAATGCAAAGTCTTAGAAACCAATGGGGGATATTTAGGTGATTTTGATATGGCCACTCAGCATTTATATATATAAAAGCCTAAGCAACCGGCCGACCACTTGACCAGTTGCTGTGACTCGCACTGACCACCAGGGGCAGACACTCAATGCAGGAGCTGCCCCCTGATGGTTGGTGTGCTCCCACAGCAGGAGCACCGCTCAGCTGACCAGGTGCCAGACGCAGGGCTCACAGCTGGCTGCCGCAGCCCTGAGACCGCAGCGGAGCAGCAGTGAGCCTACGGAGCAGTGGCAGCGGCAGGTGCAGTGGGGCTGGGGTGAGCAGGAGCAGCAGGCAGGAGTGGCAGGCGGTGTTAGACTGCCAGTTTCAGCCTGATCCCCGCAGGCCATACCGAGGGACCCCACTGGTGCTCAAATCCGTGCCCCAGGCCTCTAGTAATATTATAAAAGTTACTATTGGGAAAAGAATCCCAAAGAGTTTATAATAACTTGGAGAAGTGCTTATGTTATAACTAGAGGCCCAGTGCACAATATTCGTGCACTGGGGAGGGGGGAGGTCCCTCAGCCCAACCTGCACCCTCTCGCAGTCTGGGAGCCCTGGGATGTCTGACTGATGGTTTAGACATCCTTAGCGCTGCCACAGAGGCAGGAGAGGCTCCCACCATCGCCGCTGTGCTCGTCAGCCCTGATCCTGGCTTCTGGCTGAGCAGCACTCCCCCTGTGGGAGCACACTGACCACCAGGGGGCAGCTCCTGCATTGAGCATCTGCCCCCTGGTGGTCAGTGTGCGTCATAGTGACCGGTTGTTCTGCCGTTCAGTCAATTTGCATATTGGCCTTTTATTATATAGGATGGTAAATGAATAAAGCCAAATATAAATGTATAACTTGAGCTTAAGCATAGTTAAGAAATGACAGTACCACCTGTTTATAGGAAAACCCCAGTGAGTAGTATCATTTCTGGGGGTCACGGGTATCTTGTCACCTTCTGGACTACTGTTTGGCTGCTTGCAGAAGGGGCTGGTGGAAGGGTTGCTGACCAGCATAGCATGTTTGAGACATGCTCTCAGGTAGGGGAAGGAGTTCACCAGGCTGTGGGGCAGTGCAGGTGGAAATCGCTCCGCTCATAACCAGGAAGGCAGCATGCTGTCAGGCAGAAAATTTTTTAAAAAATATGTTTTTATTAATTTCAGAGAGAGGAAGGGAGAGGGAGAAAGAGATAGAAACATCAGTGATGAGAGAGAATCATTGATCGGCTGCCTCCTGCATGCCCCCTACTGGGGATGGAGCCCACAACCTGGGCATGTGCCCTGACCAGGATTCAAACCATGATCTCCTGGTGCATGGGTTGACGCTCAACCACTGAGCCACACTGGCTGGGCATCAGGTAGAGGATTTTATCACAGGTCCTTTCTGATGTCAGGGGCTCTTTGCTGGGTCTAGAAATGTCCAGAATGTTGCCTAAGCTCTGCTTGCTCCCAGAGGTTGCCATCGCTTCTGAGTAAAGGCCTGTACACCAGCTTCAGTTCCTGCTTCCCACAGTCCTGGCTCAACACACACGAATTCAAGTCTGATATCTGTAACACCATGAGCCTCTGGATTTCAGGTAAGAGCTGGCTTGGAAAGCAATTCTGGAAATACTCTTTCCGCCTGAGTGTGTTCTTGTTTGCCATCCCTTCATTGAGGCGGTTGTCCTTTCCTCTCCTTGACATTAAAGAAAAGTGTACGCTTAGAGCCAAGGGTGCCAATTTCCCTGCTTCCTCAGAACAGCTCTGAGCCATTCCTCGTCCCCTGCTTGTGTCCAGCTGCATCTGCAGGCCTCAGGTTTGCGCACAGCCCCATTTGCTGTGCACAAGCTGCCTTTGTGCTCTGAGCTGATGGACCCAGAACTCAGGAACCCAAAAGCAGTATGTGGGTTAGAGCATCCCACCCTTACACAGCCCTGGCCTGAGTGATGCCAGGCGGCCCAACTGCGTAGTCTCCCTCTGTCGGCAGCACACACAGTGCCAGTATGACGTTTGCTTTCCTTTCTTTCCTTTTTTTTTTCTTAAATATATTTTTATTGATTTGCTTTCCTTTCTTTCCTCTTTTTTAAAGATATTTTTTTTTATTTCAGAGAAGAAGGGAGAGGGAGAGAGATAGAAACATCAATGATGAGAGAGAATCCTTGATTGGCTGCCTCCTGTACGCCCCCTACTGGAGATTGAGCCCACAACCGGGGCACGTGCCCTGACGGGGAATCGAACCGGCAGCCATTCGGTGCACGGGATGACACTCAACCAACCGAGCCACACCAGCCGGGGCTCAGCACAGACATTTTAAGGTCACTAAAAGCCACCGTTATCGAGAGGTTCCTGTGCACCAGGTACTCTGCTAAGTGAGCACCTGTCACATTTCCTGCGGTGCTGGCGGTCTCCAAGCTTACTCCCCCGTTAGGAGACCTGCTTAGAGAACTCACCGGTGTGTTCATGGCTGAGATGTACTACAGCGACGTGGTAGGATACACAGCGGATCGTAGGGGAGAAGACAGGCAGGGTTGGGAGGAGTCCGTGCAGGCTTCCGCACGCTCTCTCCCTCCCGGGAGGAGTTATGCAGAACCCTCTCCTTCTGCAACGAAAATGTAGCCGCCTGCCTGTGACGTTCCTGCCCGAATCCCACTAGAGAAATAGCACCCGAGACTTTTGGGGGCTGGTCGTGCAGCCCCTCTGTCCACATGTCCCAGATTCCAGAAGAGCAGAGGTTCAGCATAAGCCACATCATTTACAAGCAGTCAAAGCACAGTGACCCCCTCTTGTCCACACAGTGGTTCTCAACCTTCCTAATGTCGCGACCCTTTCATACAGTTCCTCATGTTGTGGTGACCCCCAACCATAAAATTATTTTCGTTGCTACTTCATAACTGTAATTTTGCTACTGTTATGAATTGTAATGTAAATATCTGATATGCAGGATGTATTTTCAGGGGTCGCGACCCACAGGTTGAGAACAGCTGCACTAGGGAAAATGTTTACCACCAGCTTTATTGAGATGTAATTGACATGTAGCCCTGTGTAAATTTAAGGTACAATGTGATGACTTCATACGCTTATATACAGTGGGGCCTTGACTTACGAGTTTAATTTGTTCCGTGACGGAGCTCGTAACTCAAATTACTCGTATGTCAAATCAACAGTGAACGAGTGAGACACGTGATGCTGGGCTGATGTTGTGGCGTTCACTGTGACGTTCGCTGCGCCAACTAGCGGTGGGGTATCTGAAGCTGGCTCGTAACCCATATTTTAGCTCGCAACTCAAAGCAAAAAATCGGCCGAGAGACGGCTCGTATCTCGAAAAACTCGTTAGTCGGGACACTCGTAAGTCAAGGCCCCACTGTACTGCTAAGAGTTTACCATAACAAGGTTAACTAACGCATCCTGCACCTCACATAATTCCCATTTTTGGTGGTGGTGGTTATGATGAGAACATTGAGGATTTACTCTCATAGCAACTTTCAAGTAGACAATACAGTATTGTTAACTATAGTCACAATAATGGATATCAAATCCTGAGAACTTGTTCCTCCTATAGCTGGAAGTTTATACCCTTGGACCAACACCCCCCCATTTCCCCACCCACCAGCTCCTGGCAACCTCCATTCTACTCTCTGCTTCTGAGTTCAGCTTTTTAAGATTCTAAGCATAAGTGAGATCATACAATATTTGTCTTCCTCTGTCTGACTTACTTCACTTAGCATAGTGTCCTCAAGGTCTGTCCATGTTGTCACAAATGGCAGGATCTCCTTTTCGTGGCTGAATAACATTCCATCGTGTGTATATGCCACGCTTTCTTGACACAATCAGCGGTGGATGGACATTTAGGCTCCATGCCTTGGCTATGTAACTAGTGCTGCACTGAGCATGGGAGTGCAGATATCTCTTCAAGAAAGTGATTTCACTTCCTTTGGGTATGTATCCAGAGGTGAGATGCTGGGATTGTATGGTAATTGTTTTTAAGTTTTGAGGAACGTCCATACTGTTTTCCATAATGGTTGTACCAATTTACATTCGTACCAACAGGTCACAGGAGTTCCCTTTTTTCCACATCTTTGCCAGCAGTTGTTATTTCTTGTCTTTTTTATAATAGCTACTCTAATGGCTACAGCAGTTGTTATTTCTTGTCTTTTTTTTTTTTTTTATTTATTACATCTTTATTGTTCAGATTACATTTATTCCTCTTCCCCCCCCCCCCATAACTCCTCTCCTCCCAGTTTTTAGTTGTATTTTTGAAGTGGTTGTTTGCGGCAGCAGTCTCCGGTGTTTACCTATGCCGCCATCTTGGTCCCATCTCATTTCTTGTCTTTTTTATAATAGCTACTCTAATGGCTATAAGGTGACATCTCATTGTGGTTTTCATTTGTATTTCCTGTTTTTAAAAAAATCTTTATTGTTGAGAGTATTACATATGTCTCCTCCCCCCCCATTGGCCCCCTCCAGCCCACCCTTACCCCTATCCCAGGCCTTCACCACCCTATTGTCTGTGTCCAAGGGTTATGCATATATGCATACAGGTGATTTGTATTTCCTTGATGATTACTGATGTTGAGCACTTCTTCATGTACTTATTGGCCATTTTAAGTATCTTTGGGAAAAATGTCAATTCAGGTCCTCTGCCCGTTTCCTAACTGGATTATTTGTTTTGTTACTGAGTTGTATGCACTCTTTTATACTTTGAATATTAGCCCCTCATCCGATATATGATTTACAAATATTTTCTCTCATTCAGTTGGTTGCCTTTTCATTTTGTTTTCTTTTGTTGTGTAGACGCTTTTAAGTTGGCTATAGTCCCACTTGTTTATTTTTGCGTTTGTTGTTTGTGCCTTTGGTGTGATGTAAAAAAAAATCATTGACAAAATTAATGTCAAAGAGCTTTCCCCCTAGGTTGTATTCCAGGAGTTTTATGGTCTCAGGTCTTACACTTAAGTCCTTAATCCATTTTGAATTGACTTTTGTAAGTGGTGTAAGACAGGGGTTTCAATTTCATTTTTTTGCACATGAATATCCAATTTTCCCAGCACCATTTATTGGAGAGACTATCCTTTCTCCATTGATTATTCTTGGAGAAATAAGTGTCACTGGGCTATGACACTTGAATTTCCAATATTAGTTAACTCTATCTGTGTGGGTTTATTTCTGGGCTTTCAATTCTGTTTCATTGATCTGTGTGTCTGTGGATTTCTGTTTTTTGCCAGTACCGTACTGTTTTGATTTCTGTAACTTTGTAATATAGTTTAAAATCAGAGAGTGTGATGCATCCAACTTGGTTCTTTTTCAAGATTGTTTTAGCTGTTCAAGGTCTTTTGTGAATCCATACAAATTTTAGGATAGTTGATTTCTATTTTTGTGAAAAATGCCTTTGGAATTTTTATAGAGATTACATTGAATCTATAGATGGATTTGGGTATATGGACATTTTAATAATGTTAATTCTCCTGATCCATGAACATGTGATATTTTTCTATTTATTTGTATCTTCAATTTCTTTCATCAATGTCTTATAGTTCTCAATGTATATATATTTTAATTCCTTGGCTAAATTTATTCCTAAATATTTTATTGTTTTTAATATTATTGTAAATGGGGTTGTCTTCTTTATTTCTTTGATAGTTTTTTGTTAGTGTATAAAAACATAATTGACTTTTGTGTGTTGATTTTGTATCCTGCAACTTTACTGAATTCATTTATTAGTTCTAACCGTTTTTTTGTGGAATCTTTAGGATTTTCTGTATGTAATACCAAGTAATCAGCAAAAAGAGACAATTTTACTTTTTCCTTTCTGATTTGGATATCTTTTATTCCTTATTCTTGCCTAATTGCTCTGGCTAGGACTTCCAGTACTGTGTTGAATAGGCGTAGTGAGAGTGGGTACCTTAGTTTCGTTCCTGATCTTAGAAGAAAATATTTCAACCTTTCACTGTTGAGTATGATGTCGCTATGGGCTTGTCATATATGGCCTTTATTATGTTAAGATATGTTCCTTCTATACCCACTTTTTCTAGAGTTTTTATGAAAGGATGTTGAATTTTGCCAGAGGATTTTTCTGAATTTATTGAGATGAGCATGTGCTTTTTAGTCTTTCATTCTAGTAATATAACGTATCACATTTCTTGATTTGTGTGTGTCATACTCTCCTTGCATCCCAAGGGTAAATCCCACTTCATCCTGGTGTATGGTCCTTTTAATGTGCTGTTGAATTCTGTTTGTTAGTATTTTGTTGAGAATTTTTTCATCTATATTCATCAGAGATATTGGCTTATAATTTTCTTTTCTTATGGTCTCCTTATCTGGCTTTGGTATCAGGATAATGCTAGTCTTCTATAATGAGTTTGGGAGTATTCCCTCATCTCCAATTTTTTGGAAGAACTTGAGAAGGATTGGAGTTAATTCTTCTTTAAATTTTATTAGAATTTATCTGTGAAGCCATCTGGTCTTGGGCTTCTGTCCATACTCATTTGTCTGTTCAGATGTCCTATATCTTGTACGATTTAGTCTTGGTAGGTTGTGTGTTTCTCGGAATTTATCCATTTATTCTCGGTAGTTAGGGAAAGTTTTATATCAGTGGAAGGAAATGTTCACCAGTCAAGGTCCATCCCAGAGGCCAGCTAAGGGCCAGACTTGCAAGCGGACCTTTGTAAGGACAATGGTCCGCACGCCCATTTAATCCTCTCGGCAGAAATGTTCACCAGTCAAGGTCCATCCCAGAGGCTAGCTAAGGGCCAGACTTGCAAGGACAATGGTCCGCACGCCCATTTAATCCTCTCGGCATCTGCAGGATCCAAGAAATTCAACAGCCAACTCATGGGGGATTCGGCACCAGGCAAAGCTGGGTCTTTGGCCCTCCTGCCACTCTGCCTCCTGTCCCCTGACTTCCTGTCCCTCCTTCCGATTCCCCTTTTTGTCCAAGTTGTGCCTCCTTTTCCTGATCCATCCCCAGTAACAAACCTCCTGTCTACTTCCTTCGTCCAGCAGAGACAACAGCTGTGCATTGAGACTCACATTTCTCAGTTAATCCTGGGTCTTTTCTTTCCCAAACCGAAGAACAGAGGGAGACAGTGGAGTCCCTCTCATGTCTGCGGGTTCAGGTTCCAAGAAGCCAAGACTCTGAAACACATGGTTTCCTTAAAAGGGGAGCATTAGTCCCATAAACATCACCATCGAACCCTGGGGCGAACCCCTCCGTCACTCAGCTGAGTGTGATACCGTGCGGAATAAAATGTACCCAATCCCTGTTTCTCATGTTCCAGGTCCAACAGTCAGCCCTAGAACAGGAGTTGGAACGAGAAATCAGACCTGCCCTCAGCGAGCTCCTAGTCCAGTAAAAGCAGAGGCGGCAGGCGTGAAAACAAACATTGCAAGGCCTTCCCCTCTGTACAGCCCTCACACCTGCACAGCACGTCCCAGGGTCCCTTGTCTGTGCTGTGATCTGATCCTCACACCCACGCTGTCCGGAGGGCAGGGTGGGTGTCACCATCTGCATTTTCCTGATGAGGAAACCAAAGCCTCTTAGCGAGGACGTGACTCCCCGAGACCAGGGGGGCCGTGGGATGGGGATGACGCTTGCTGGAAGCCCAGCCTCCCCGGGACCAGCAGGGGGCAGCTCAGAGGCCTCTGTCTTCTGTTTCCTGCCTCTCGTCCTCTTTGGCAGTTTTCAGGATCACGTTTGCCTTCCCCTTAGGTATATATCCCAGCCCACTGGGCTATGACACTTGGGACTACTCGAACCTGGACCCAGAGAGGTTCCGGAGAGAAGGGTTAATATCGAGGAGAAGACGATGGAGAAGGGGTAAGGTCCCGCTTACAGACTCCTGTCCCCTTTGCCCCGGTCACGCCCAGCCACCATCCAGCTGGGGCAGGGAAAGGCCTTTGTATTGAAATCCTCAGGCCAGGTTCTCTCTCATGGATCCCCAAACTAGCCACCAAACTGACTGACATGTTCATTTAGGAGCCACAGTCAGTCAGCGCAGCGTCATTGTTGTGGGGGGGGGGCGGGGGGGCGGTATTTTATATTAATAACAGATGCCAGTTATGGCCTGCCGCGTGCCAGGCACCACGCTCAGCTCTTCATCCTCTTTATTGAATCTTCACAACAACGAGCTGAAGGACACACTGAATCCTCAGATGAGGGGACTAGAGTTCAGAGAGCAACTTCCCCAGGCCAGCTCCCTTCCTGCAGTCAGCAGGTGCAGACAGAGCACCGTGTGCCGGGCCTGTGCCCGACAGACACGGGGATCCCCGGGGAGGCCAGCGCAGCCCCCGCCGCGCAGTCCTGTGGGAAATACAGGCAACACGATGATGCCGCAGTGAACGGGCACTGAGACGGGAACACGGTGCTGAGCGGCACGGGGAGGGGCACCCAGTCCAGCCCTGAGAGGGACAGTGAGTGGCAGTTAGGCCGAGATTTAAAGGATGTGTGTTTTAGGCTGCAAAAGGGAAGACGACTGTTCCAGACAGAGGGAACAGCAGGTGAGAAGACCCAGAGGCATGCGGGGAACAGAGAGGCATTCCTGTGGCAGCAGCGGGAGGACTGGGAGAGATAAGCAGCCATGGGTGGCTGAGGCAGGATTCAAACTCAGGACTGCGGAGTGTGGCCCAAGGACCTGCAGCTCAGCATCCCTCTCAGTGGTTCTCAACCTGTGGGTCGCGACCCCTGAAAATACATCCTGCATATCAGATATTTACATGACGATTCATAACAGTAGCAACATTACAGTTATGAAGTAGCAACGAAAATAATTTTATGGTTGGGGGTCACCACAACATGAGGAACTGTATTAAAGGGTCGCGGCATTAGGAAGGTTGAGAACCACTGCATCTAGCTGCACTGAATCAGACTGCAGTCTACCATGATCTGCTGTGATCGACAAGCACGTTCTAGTTTGAGAAGCCCCGGTGCAGGGCACAGGGAAGAACATACCGACAGCCTTGGAGGACTGAGTGCGGCTGCGGTGACCGGCTGGAGATGAGAATTCTCGGAGCCAGGCGCTGCTGTGTGTTCCTTTCCTACGTGTTTACAGTTATTGGCTCACATGATAGGTTTGCTCTCCCAGCAGTGGTCATGGGCACACAGGAGTTTCAAGGTGAAAAGAAAATCTAACCTGTAAATTGTCTTCAAATGTAGTGACATTTCAGTTAATACTAATTTTAAATCTTATGAGATTGATAGGTTGTTACTTTTTAAAGCATTTAACCCAACATTTATTCATTTCAATTTTGCTGGGTTCTGAGGGTTTGATTCTTCTTTTGAAGTCTTTTTTTTTTTCCTGTGCATTGAGTGCTTGTCCTGTGTACTCTGCATACATATTTCCTGTCATTGGTTCATTGGCCCTGTGAGGTAGTTAGTATTCATACCTTTAATGGGATCAGAGAGGTTAGGTAACTTGCCCAAGGTCACTCAGGAAGTGGTTCTGCTTTGCCTGAGGCTGGTTCTTTTGCTGTTGCTATTGCCTCCAGGGAGGGGGATGTCTGCAGACCAAGGCTCCTGGTCTGCAGTGTCACCCAAGCCATGAAGGAACTGAGGAACAACTTTTTCTCTTCCCTAGGAAATCAGATGTCTCTCCTCATTCCCAAGGCATACTCTTCTTACAAGGCTGTCCATAGCGGGAAAATCCCCTGTTCTCAGGTGAGTGGGGAGGCACAAACCCAGGCCCCTTGGAGCCCCATAAGCTCCAGTGCCTTCCGGTTAGTCCCACATCTCTGCACTCCTCACCCCACCTTCTTGGGCGGGGGGGGGGGGGGGGGGGGGGGGGGGGGGCTGGATTTTCCCAAGTTCCAAAGCATGGGCACGGTGCGGGGCCTGGGCACGGTGCGGGGCCTGCTAGTACCAGATCTCAAAGCCCAGGCCCCTCTCAGGTATTTCTGGGCATCTCCGGATTGACTCTCGCGTTGTCTCCTGCTTTCCTGGGTCCTCAGCGTGCGCAGTCTGAAGCAGGGTGACCACGTGGGGTAGAATGGTTCCATCTCTGTGCTGTGGTGGGCAGGGGGCCCCAGAGCAGTCTTAATATATATATATTATTGATTTCAGAGAGGAAGGGAAAGGGAGAGAGAGAATCATTGATTGGCTGCCTCCTGCAAACCCCCTACTGGGGATCGAGCCCGCAACCTGGGCATGTGCCCTTGGCCGGAATCAAACCTGGGACCCTTCAGTCCAAAGGCCAACGCTCTATCCACTGAGCCAAACCGGCCAGGGCGCAGAGCATTCTTATGTTACCCCCATCCCAACGATGTCACCTAGCCTCATACACTCGGGGTAGTTGCTGGTCACAACATGAGAATAGATAGAAAAGTAATTGGACAGTCCATCATGGGCAGATTGTCTTTGCAAATATCCTCTCTAGTCCTTACAACATTTCTGCAAGGTCGGTAATGATTATCTTTTTTAAAAATATATTATTTTTATTGATTTCAGAAAGTAAGGGAGAGGGAGAGAGAGAGAAACATCAATGATGAGAGAGAATCATTGATTGGCTGCCTCCTGCTTGCCCCAATACGAGCCCGCAGCCCGGGCATGTGCCCTGACCGGGAATTGAACTGTGACCTCCTGGTTCATAGTTCGACGCACAACCACTGAGCCACGCCAGCGGGCGGTAATGATTATCTTTATTCGGCAAAGGAAGACATGCCTCCCAGAGCTGAATCACTTCCCCGGGGCCACACAGCTGACTTCAGCTGACGTCAGGACGCTGTCAGCCTGGGCTCCTTCTGCATCATTATGCTGCCTCTCCAACAAACAGGAGAGTCTAATAACGCAAACCAAGCCGGTCTCTGCATTTATTCTCTGCTCTACTGTCAGGCTCACTGAGGCCTGTTAAGAATGAACATGATGCTTCACTGAGCCCTGGGAGTGTTTTCTCTCTAACAAATCCCAGTCACCACTTTAAACTATAAACATCAGTATCTGTCGCACAACCAGCTGCATGGTGTATGGGAAGTCCTTTCAGCTCTCTTCTCTCTAATCAAATATCATCTCTATATATTTATATATATAAAAGCCTAAGCGACTGAACGTCCGAATGACCGATGGACCAGTCGCTATGATGTGCACTGACCACCAGGGGGCAGACGCTCAATGCAGGAGCTGCCCCCAGTGGTCAGTGTGCTCCCACAGGGGGAGCGCCGCTCAGCGGACTGATGCTGGGCTCACAGCTGGCAAGCACAGCTGCAGAGGGGCAGCGGGGCCAGGCTGAGTGGGAGCGCATGGCGCTCGGCCGCCTGCTGCTTCTTACACGACCACATCCCCGAGGGGTCCCGGATTGCGAGAGGGCGCAGGCCAGGCCGAGGAACCCCACGGGCGCACGAATCTGTGCACCGGGCCTCTAGTATTTTTATCAAAGCAAAGTGGCAGTTGTTGAGACTGGTGGGCTGCTCGTCTGCCCCTTGGTGGGCCATCTGTTTAGCGTCACGAAACTCCTACTCATCCTTAAAGACAGAACCAAAGTGTCTTCTCCCCTTGGAAACCCCCCGGCTCTCCCAGCCGAGTGAGTCCCCCAGACAGAACCCAGCATTCCCACTCGGCCTTCTTATGATGCGCTGCTCGCACTGCGTCCGGCCTGCTATCGGTTGTGCCACAGTGTCTGTTGTTCCCTTCCTCTATAGGAGAGAACCACTGATTTCCATCTGGGCACTGATGTGGCCAGATACAAGATTACTTCCTAGCCTCCCCGACGTGGGTCACCATTGGACAGACCCAGTTAATGAGATTCAGGGGTGGGGGGTGCCGGGGGGTGTCCCGGGAGCCTTACGGAAAGAGCACAGCGAGTCCTTTGCCTCTGCTGTTCTCTCCATTCTGCTCCCTGGAATGTGAGTGTAAGGGCTGGAGCGCTAGCTGCCGTTTTGGACCCTCAGAACAAGGTTTCTATCCTAGGGAGGGTGGAACCTTGTGCTGGAAGAAGTCGGAGGCCTGAAGGGCTTATCCCAGCAGAAATACATACATTGTCTGCCTTCAGGCTGTGATGTGGGAAAGAAGTTCCTACCTAGTTTGAGCCACTCTGTCACTCACAGACATACCTGATCTTCTCTCATAAATGCGTGACACTTCTCACACCTCAGCATAACTGTCTGTCGCTGTTCTCTCCCCTGCTAGCCTGGGCGCTCCTCTGTGGGGACTGGGTTTCAGGTGTCCCCGGTGCCAGGCATGGTAGTCGTGGCTCGATGAAATGTTTCCTGAAGGAGGTGCGGTGATGGCACGGACAGCGGTCGCTGTTTTCACAGAGCTCTGCCCATGAGCAGACACCCCTGCACTTTGCACGCGATAGCTGCCTTACTCTCATAAGAACCCCACGAGGAAACAAAGGCATCGAGAATCCGGTGACTTGCCCAGGATCGCCGGCGGTCGCGCAGCAGGTCCAGGACGGGAACCCGGCGCCTCAGTCCCCAGCCCTTGCGTTTTCTACATTAGCCCCTTCTCTCCACCAAGTTCCCGGGATGAAAGGCTGTGTTGTCAAGCTGTGCCTGAAAGCTCTCCCTCTACAAGAAGAATCAGAAATATCTAGGAAATAGCATGTCATCCATTAATTACAGGGCCAACTAATGGCCAAAATTGCGTGTACCTTTTTGTATTATTCTCACTGCCAGTTTGACTAAATTTGTTTTTCCCCCCTCTCCCCTGCAGTGGACTAGTGGACATTTAAAAAGCAGGAGAAACTGTTTATCCAAGAATTCAGAGGACACCTCACAATCACAGAACACCTCGCAAGGTACAGGAACTAGCTAAAAGGGAAGTGTCAGCTTTCGACTCAGTGATCGTCTCCAAAGCCCTCCTTTCTTGAGTTTGTTTCAACATAATTTGTCACCCTAGTTTGCTCCCTTCTAGCCTGGGCCCTGGCACCAAGTAATATCTTATGAGAGGACATAATTGTCTTTCAGTTCAACAAGCACTGATTTAGTTCCACTTTTGTAGAGAACTCTATCATGGCACCTGAGTTAGCGTTACACTTATTACTTGCATGCCTTTTTTTCCCTTTCACTAAAATATGAGTTTCTTGAAGATAATCTACTTTTAGCACATAGTAGATGCTCAGTAAATGTTTCTTGGATCGGTGGATAGCTTAATAAATGGAAAAATCTATGGCCATAGGTGTATATCTGTATAAAATGCAAGTTAAGTTGTATAAATTTACCTAACCTACTTCCCCTAGTATTTCCCAATGATCCGAATCCACCCAGGCATTTTTACATTCATAGGAAACAGAGATCTACCATGGCTGACCAACTCCAAATTATTATTATTATTTTATTTTTTATTTTTTTGCTAATATTACTTTGACAGATTATGGTCAGACTCAGGCCTTGAGGAAAGCTACACAAGTCAAGAAAAGATCAGAAGCAAGAATATATGAGAATATGCTTCCTAAGAAGGTGAGCACAGAATTGGAATTTAATAGTAGAGGTGATTTAAAAGGGGCCAAGGGATATAACTACAAAAGCTAGCACTGTTGAGATGTCAGGGAAAGAATTTGGGTACTTCCAATGGTAGACTCAGGTGACGCCGCCAGGAAATTGCCTAAGGCAGTGGTCGGCAAACTGCGGCTCACGAGCCACATGCGGCTCTTTGGCCCCTTGAGTGTGGCTTTTCCACAAAATACCGACTTCTGCACATGGGCCACGAAGTTTCAATCACACTGTACATGCGCGCCCGCACGTGGGATTTTGTGGAAGAGCCACACTCAAGGGGCCAAAGAGCCGCACGTGGCTCGCGAGCTGCAGTTTGCCAACCACGGGCCTAAGGGTAATTCCTGGCTGAGGTGAGCACAAATGAAGTAAATGTTTTGTCTGGATTTCTCCGGGCGTTTAAATGCTTGAAATTCAGGAGCTTGGGTGTACTGGGAAGAGAGCACGGAGTCTCAGTTTGCTGCTCTATAAAATGGAGACAGTAGTTCCGCGGTCATGGTGTTCTGAGACTTACCTGAGGTGGTGGTGATAATTATCATGTAATAAACCCTCCATGGCAGGTACTTGCTAACCCTGTGCGCGCAGTACTTGTTGTTTAACTGTCTCTGCTCCGAGATCATGACTCTGCTTTTCTTTAGTTTATTAGTGAGGAAGATGATGCTCAGAACAAGTACTCATTTGTCCAAGTTCACAAAGCAAATAAGAGAGAAAGCCTTGCGTGCAGGTCTGTCCGGCTCTGCGCCTGAGCTCCTAACCGTGGAGCCTTGCCACGGCCCAGTCCACGGAGCACAGGACCCCCGGGGTCGTGTTCTCTTCTTCTCCTCCCCGCCCCCCATGCGCCCCCCATGCGCCCCATGTGCCCGGTAGTTTCTGTCAGTGGCACCTGCCGTGCTGTGTAGGGGAGAGGGGCCCTTAGGGCCCTGCACAGGGCAAGAGGTTGGGGGCTTTCCCAAGACACCACCGAGCAAAGGACTTATACCATGGAGTTTGGGCCAAGGACAGCAAGCATTGCAGGAGGCTTCTTGAACCTTCTTCATTTCTTCGTATTTATTACCACTGCCCGTTTCCTGTCCGCGCTTAGCAGGAAGCTTTTGAGAAGTAGCAAGGCATGGTGGCAAGAACAGGCAGCATGGGTTCAAATCTTGGTGCTGCCTCTCATCAGCCGTGCTACTTGAGGGAGTTGTTTAACTTTTCCGATCTTTTTCTATAAAATTGGGGAAAATGAAGCCCAGCATTGTTATGGTTTCATTTTTATTTTTTAAATTAAATCTTTATTGTTGAAAGTATTAAATATGTCCCCTTCCCCCCCCATTGCCCCCCTCTAGCCCGCCCCCCCTCCCCGCCCCAAGCCTTCACCA